TCTATCTTTAGCATAAGCTTATGGCTAGAAACAGGCTTACTTCAAAAATATATCTAAATTCAGAAAAAGGATTCTAGTACAGAGTCCTCAACTTATGACCGTTGGAATTATGATTGTTAGTCATTGTAAGTCGAGGCATCACACGATCGGACTTGATTTTTCAATATTTTATTTGCGGCGGTTAAGTCAACAATGTGATTGTTAAGTGAATCCATTTTTCACAATGGGCATTTTGCCAAAAACTGGAAGTAATGCCACAAATGGACAAAAAACATTGCAAATCATGGTTATGTGAGTGTGGGATGCTGCAAACAGCCATAAAGGTGTTTGGGGTGATTTTTCAGTTTAGCCTACAAATATTGTATTTACTCAGGCAAATGAATTATATCTTTTATGATTATATATACTGTATATAATTGTCTCTTTGACAGTAATTACACATTATTTCCATATTAAGGGTGTTTAAAAAGAGTCCAAGTGGAAAATCACAAGGTGGAAGTTTTTCAATAGTAATTTGTCTTTCCCCAAACTAAAAAGAATGGGAAAACCTGCTAACCATTTTTAGCTGCCTGCCCATGAAATCTAAGGCCATGAAATTCAATAAAGGATTGTTATGTCTCCATATTGATTGAATTCATCACCCGACCTATATGGATGAATAATTTTCAGAGGTAGTTTAAGACAACAGGGCAATGGAGAGATTTTCATTAAGATCTGCTCTGTAATAATTCTTCCAATATAAACAAGGTTACAGAACTGACAAGACTATTCAAGCATGGTAATACCCAACAGTTCCACCATTTTGTTTTTCTATCTTGAAATACAGAACATCTCCTTTAGAATAAAGATGGAAATATCTCCCTCTTTCACAAAAGGCAACTACAAATGTTTCCTGTTATCTTTTAAAGATAATGACCATGAATAACCAGGTTATAGTCTGTTCCATTAATTTGTTGCTGTTGTAGTTCTATACTTATTTCATTTGTTCATTCCTTTATCTGTAAGCTGCCTCATCTAATGATTCTAGGTGGATGGGACAACTGTATAATGCAGCAGAGATATAAATATCCATGTTTTTCTTTACTAAATATAGATACAAGAGGATATTTGCTTGTGCATGATGGAATTAGATCAGCATGTGCAGATTTGTTTCAATAACCACATTACGAAGTTCTACAAGAGAGTTAGCATCCAAAACAGACAGATGTTTAAGAGGGTTTGGATAAGCAACTATCACAAACAGCTCCTCTAAAGCTCTTGAGAGACCAGTTAGATAGATGTAAATGGGCTGCTGCTTATTGGATTTGACTGCCATCTTGCAATGTGTCAAAGAATTAACCTTTAAATCCATCTTCTTATGTAAAGAAGCCCTCAAAGAAGGCTACCTTTCTTTGCCATTTGAGGACACCCTTGTTTAGCCTTGTTTCACCCTTACTTCTGTATGCATGATCTGTGAAAAATGCAGTTATTTTAAGTAGCTCTTTGAGAGTCAGTCCTTTGGGAATATGGGTGAGGAAACAAACTCCGCAATGCTACTTTATTGTTGTAGGGTATAGAACAGCACATCAACCATTTGCCAGGGTTTCTCTCTGCCCCCTCTTATCCCATACAGAATCAAAGCAAAGTTATTCTCAGTCTGTTTCTTACCCTCTCTCCCTTCTTAGGGCTAAAATGTTATTTACTGCATTGTTAATCTGCTAAGAGTTCTTCAATAGCCAACTTTTTCTGTGGTTTTTATATACCACAGTGAGTGAGATATTTGAACATTCATCCAAGTTCTGCATTATGAAACAAGTATGGAATCAGGAATCTGATTAGATGGCATATTCAACCCTTAGTTTTAAAGTGATAGTTATATTCCTTTGAATATCATTGTATGTTCATAGGTGTGCCCTATGTAGATTTCAGTTGTAATGAAAGCACTTCATCTCACTTTGGCTCAAGATACTAGGGCTGTGCAAAGCATTCAAAAGAGGGGCTTCACGTGTGTGTTACTGCAAGGAAAATAGCCCATGATCTTTTCCATAATTCTCAGCTCTGCTTTTGTGGAGACATCTTCAGTTTACCATACCTCCCAAGGGAAGTCACAGCTTTCCAAGGATTATGCTGCATCTGCAGAGAGTAGCTGCAAGATTCCAGGAAAGATGCAATTGCATCAAGAAGTTGCAAAAAGGGACTATGCGATTTGCCCTAGCCTTCCGCGAAGCATCTGTTTGCCTTCAGGACAAATGCAAGTAGTATTAATCATTCCCCTTTAATGGCAAACTCAGGTGGCTGACTGCCAATACAACAATAGCCAACAGAATTGCTGAGAAACCAGAGGAGACGATCAAAAGAAAGGAAGCGTATTCATCTGAGCAAAAAGGGAATTGGAAATATGGTGGATACTGGCAAAAAAAGGGATCTATACACTTATTTATAGATTCAAAAAGGTCAATGAGACTATCTAGGATGGTTTATTATTATTATTCACAATGTGAAATCACAGCTTCCATTTTGGCAATTCTGGAACTGCTGGTGTTGGCCATCATATGCATCGAGTTCGTCCCCAAAACCTAGGGTGCATTATGCATCGGCATAGTATACTGTGTATGCATCTCAAGCAATGCGGCCTTTTATAATTGACAGAATGTATATATTTTCTAAAGGCTATTCCAGATTTTTGATATAACACCCAGTGTGCCAATAGCCACTGGGACCATCACAGCTAGTTTATGCCATAATTTTTCCATTTCAATTTTTAGTTCTTAATGCTTTGTATTCTTGCCTAATTCATTATTTTCTATTGGAATATTTTTTATTCACCAAGTGTGATTGGACACACAAGGAATTTGTCTCCAGTGCATAAGCTCTCAGTGTACATACAAACAACAAAGAGATAAGTCATAAATCATAAGATACAAACAAGTGATAATTCATAAGATACTAATAGAAGGTAGTAGGAAAGATGAGAAGATGAGAAAGATGAAATATTTTACCATCTCCTAGTATTGCCACATCAAATATCCACACTTTCTTCTCTTCAACCAGTTAAATCTGGTGTACTAAGTGCCAAGACTTTACCAGTTTGTATTCAGAAATTCCACTATATTTTAACCTGTTCATCTTTGACTATTTTTTCGGCACATGATAATTTTTAGATATTCCAGTGAATCATTTTGGTGACTATGTTATATCATTGTTTATAATCAATTTATGCAATCTTCTTACGCAAAACAAGTATAAGATCTTCTGTTTCTTTGCATAATCTCCACTTTGAATCATATGATGATTTTTCATTTGTGGCCTAGCTTGCATTAGTTCATTTGAGCTGTCAAATTCAAGGGTTGAGTCTCTTTTATAAATGTTCTAGTTGTAAGCCAAGTTTTATCTTTATCTTTATCCACTGTCCGCACAAGCTTTTGTATAAATTAATTCTGAAATAGCTATTCCTTACCAGCATTGTTTGTTTTTATTACATTCTTTCAATATTCATGTTTTGTTTCCTTTACATTCAATAAGTTCCAATCTTTAATTTCCGTCAATGTATTTTCTTGGCTGTCTTTTACATAATCATTCAATGAATGCTTTTTCTTCTATGACAATTTGACTTGAAGTAAACCTCTGCCTCTATTTTTGTGAGGCAGGTATAATCTATCCATATGACTACAAGGATGTAATTTATAGTGAATATTCATCAGTTTTCTTGTTATTTTGGTCCCAACTGCTCAGTTCAATTGGTGTACAATTAATAATTCGAGCAGTGTATCATATCACAGCTGTGGCCCAAGTATTGATGGTTTTGATGGTGTTTTCACCATTTAATTTTGTCTTTAGCAATTGTCTCACTCTTTGTATATATTCTTTACTATTCACATTTTTGACTCGCCCATGCTTGATATTATTCAACTATAAGATGCCCAGATACTTGCAGGTTTCATCCTCTTCCTTCCCGATGGTTTGGTCAATTGGCATTTCAATTCCATTTCTGTTTGTGACTTTACCCCCATTTCACTGAGGCACATTTATTTGGGCCAAATTTCATTGCTACATCTGTAGTAAAAATTCTTACTGTATGTGTCAATGACTGGATTTCAATTTCTGGTTTTTCATTAAGCTTCAGATCATCCATCCATATATATATATATGAAAGCTTTTTTTCTTTTAGAGCACCCTGTCGGCCCAAATATGGGAAAGAGAAGTCTTTTGCCTGTATCAGCTCAACCTAGAGCCATCCACAGGCAGCAGTCGCTTAACTGCGACATCATATGTGTTCCAAAATTTGAATTGCTAACAAAGAATTAAGGGAGAACTGGGATAGCTATTTCAAACCTTATTTGGTTTTCATCAGNTTCCCATATTTGGGCCGACAGGGTGCTCTAAAAGAAAAAAGCATTCATCCTCTTCCCCTGTCTCTTGTAGCTAACAAAGTGAGAAAGAGCCTGTGGCCTAGTGGCTAACATCTCTGCTTAACATGCAGACAGCCCAGGTTCAAATCTCAGAAGGGTATGTCTGGCTGATGAAAACCAAATAAGGTTTGAAATAGCTATCGCAGTTCTCCCTTAATCCTTTGTTAGCAATTCAAATTTTGGAACACATATGATGTCGCAGTTAAGCGACTGCTGCCTGTGGATGGCTCTAGGTTGAGCTGATACAGGCAAAAGACTTCTCTTTCCCATATTTGGGCCGACAGGGTGCTCTAAAAGAAAAAAGCATTCATCCTCTTCCCCTGTCTCTTGTAGCTAACAAAGTGAGAAAGAGCCTGTGGCCTAGTGTGCACTAAAAGAAAAAAGCATATATATATATGTCTTTTGTCTTTTTAGCTAACATCAGCTTCTCTAAACTGATTATCTTTTCATCATCAGTAATGCTGAATATTACCAAACCATGAATTACATCTAATTACAACTTTTAAACATTGCCATTATTATAATTTAAACTAACATTTATGGTCGATGTGAAAGACATACAGAGGATAATTCCTATTTCCTATTCAAGTAAAAAACATTTAAAAAAACATGTTGAATTAAATGTGAAAACCTGCTTTTTATTTGCAGTTTTTGATGAATATGAAGAAACACATTTCAGATTTGGAGATCTCATTTCAGAGAAACAAGTCTTGAAAGTATTCGTCGAATTCTTCCTCCCTATAAAACAAAGGAAATACATAACACACGTTCTTGAATCAGAACAAGACGACAGCAGTTTTTCTTCACATATGCAGAGAATGCTTTACAGCAAAAGTTCCACATTCTATAGATATACTAGCAAGGGTGTGCTGACAATATTTATCTGACTAGATAACTCAAGCTTTAAGTGTTTCTCATTAGGTCAAAATGCCTAATTAGGTCACTGCAAACTATCCTTTCTACTTCTAGAGGTTTTATTTTGTACATACTCCAGCTAAGTGCCTATTTTCCTTCAAAAGTATTTTTTCTCTGAAATCTAATAATCTTAGACTGGCCTCCTAAATATTTTTAAAAATTCTTTTATTGTTTTCAAAATAAAGACGGAGAAACAGCAAAAAATCACAAAGATAAAAATACATGCATTATCAAAGTAACGAAAACGCGTAGAAAGTGTTTTCTTAAAAGGTGAAAGAATGCAACAAAAGAAAAAAGGTATAATAGATCAGTTTATCTATAAATATAATTCTATATATAATGATCTAATGCAATTATTCAAGTACATATATATTTCTATATTTTACTACTCAAAGATATATGTATGTATGCATGTATATATATGTGTGTATAAACACACACATGCAAACATATATCTATGTACTGTATACTCTGTGTGTATATGTATACATATAAATACAGTATATATGTATACATATATATATATAGTCTACACTCACACATACACACATGCATACATACCTACATGCTTTATGTCAGTGTTTGTATAAAAATAAAAAAATGCTTTTGCTTGTTAATTAAAATTCTTTTTCTGTTTAGATAAAATTTTAAGGAAGGCCACAGAACAGACCTCGTTTTTTCTTCTGCATCCTGTGGTGGACCCCTCCAGAAATCTGCCTCAGAGGGACCATCTTCTTGATCATCACTACCTGAGTCTGTTAAACAAGATAACAATGTTTAAAATAGAATGACTTTAAGAGCATTTTCACATGTTGAGCTAGACTTCTTTAACAAGTTTTTTTTAAAAAAAAACAACATACAGCATTAAAAATAAAATGGGGAATAAGCCATACATAATTTAGTTAGGCAGATATTCCTGATCACTATCCATTGGGATTATTATTTTTACCAGTGACAAATCAGGAACTTAAAAACATGTTCATAAATACACCCAATTTTTTGTCCTATATTAAGGAATGGTTTGTGTAGTGTTAAAAGACACTGATTATAAACACAGACCATAAATTCTAATCCCTCCTCTGGCACAAAGCCAGCTGGGTGACCTTGGGCCAATCACATCCTCTCAACCTCAGGAAAGAGATAATGGCAAACCAATTCTGAAAATGTTGCCAAGAAAACTGCAGGAATTCACCACATAGTCACTGGGAGGTATAGCTAGCTTGAAGGCACCCATGCACAGACACACAGTTTATATTGTAGTGTTGTGGCTTTACTACATTTTGAATGATATCTCTCATACTTCTTTTGACCAAACTATATAATAACAATGAGCCTTCAGGTAAGATTTTCTGGACAGAATTGATTTCATCAAAACTAATACAACTTTAAATATATATATTTGTGTCCTTGTCTCCGAATGCTGTATAATTTTTATATATATCAGCCTTTTATTTACTTAACAGGTCCACATTTCAGGTTACCATCTGCTTTAAAAAGTCATTTTCATTTCAGGTATTTGTTTTATAGCAAAAAGAGCTGCATTTTAAGCTGAAACCTTGATGAATTGCACATTTCTTTGGATCTCAGAAATCAGGCTGCCTCCTAATTAGATTCTATAGTAATACATTTCTTCCTTCCATGATGTTTTTTTCCAGATCATCAGTTCTTTCTTTTCTGCTTTGCATATTAGATGATTCGAATTCTAAGACGCTTCTAAGTTTCTCTACTGAACAAAAATGATTTCCTACATTTTTTAAAAAAAATACTAACCTTCATCAGTTTCGTTCGATTCTTCTAATGATGTTGCACCTAAAAAAAAGTCATTTTAGAAATAATTATTTGCATTCCATCACGTTGCACCTACAGGTGGTCCCTAACTGATGACTACAATAGAACCCAGAATTTCAGTCGTAAGTCATTGTGGTCATAAGTTAAGGTACCACACAACCGGATTCGATTTTATAACTGTTTCTATGATGGTCATAAAATAAGTCACCATGGTTCTTAAGCGAATCATGTGCTTGTTAAGCAAATCCAGCATATCCAATGGGAGTTTTTTACTTGTAAATCTGAGTTGGTTTCCAAGCACTTGAAATGCAATCACGTACTCAAGGGGCAGGGGAGGGAGTGCAGGTGTCATAACTCTGAGGATGAGCCATAAGTAGCTCTTTTGAAATCCGTCATAACTTTGAATGGTCATTAAGTGGCCAGTTGTAAGTCAAGGACTACCTGTATCATCTTATATCTAGATTTAAATTGTAACCTCATAGTCAGATATCCCCCTTTTATAAAATGTAGAATGCACCTGTTATTTAGCTAATTGTGAGCATAAAAGTAACCTTAAATTTTGAAATTTTTTTTTTTTTACCTTCATGGATCTTTTTTTTCTTTGCCCTGTGCCTGTGCGGTGAAGATGTTCTTTTACCCTTTAAAATTTTAGAACTTTGTTCTTGGTTGTCTTGCTTATTTCCTGGTTTGACCTCCCTTTTCCTTTATAAGAAGAAATAAATAAAATGTCCATCCAGCTTCAAAAATGTGTAAAAATGGGTTAGAACTATAATAGTTTAAACACATATTTGCATATAATAAATCAATCTTCTATAGATGATAGTTTAAATATGAACTTTTTAAACTGTCCAGACTTTGTCTCTATCCTGCACAAAATTAGAATAAGGAATATAAACTTTTCTCTGCTTGTATTACAGATAAATGTGACCCAATCTTTCTGATTTCAGTTGAACTGAAATATGCCGCATTGATTCTAAAGCAGAATTTACTGAATTTTAACCTGAAAAATGTCTGGAAATGCTAGCACTTAGTCCTTTGGGTAGGAAATAGGGCTCTGGTTTCTATCAATCTGATACCACCTTGGGGGGGGGGAAGACTGACTACTTACTAACCACAAAGACAATTGTCCTTATGCAATTAGAGGCTATACACATACAGGCAAACGTGTGCACTTGTATAGTTCTATTTCATGAGCAAGCAACGGCTACATAATACACAGTTTCTCTGACAAATTGGTATTAAAGATACTAATTTTCTTCTTAAAATGTGGATGAATGAAATATAATGGTGTTACCAATCAAGTAATTAGGCAGTACAAATAATGGTTCTGTTTATCTTTCAGGTAAATTCTCTGCTAGTTTTCCTTAAATTATGCAGCAATAATAAATAGGTTGGCAATACGAAACAGAGGGTAAAGAGACAAAGTATCTTGGAATGTCTGGGAGGCAGGAAGAGGGTGGAGGACTCTCCCTAACAGGGTTTATCTAGTAGTTATGTGGATAAGGGCTTTAGACGGGCATGATTTCTGTAGGCGAGCAATAACAAAGAAACTACTCTGAAGTAACTCTTCATGTTGTTCTTGGTTTCTGGGACATAGGTTTGCCTAACATGGCATTTTACAATGGGTTAGAGCAATGATGGCGAACCTTTTAGAGACCGAGTGCCCCAAAACTGCCCTGCCCCGCCCCCACTCACCTGCAGGGCCACCTCCACGGCCTGCCACAGATCGCCCAGGCGGCTCAGCAGCACCATGGTGGCCACGCCCTCCACCCGTGCCCCACAGCATCATCTGTTTGCAACGGGGCGCAAGGGCAGAGTCTTGTCCCCACTGCCCAGCTGCCATGTCCTTGGCTGCGCTGCTCCAGGCGGGCCGTGCCTGGGGATAACTCTCCTCTGGGGGGGCTGGTGTGGAGGGGGCCACGGGGGGAGGTGGGGCTGGGGCAATGGCACGTGTGCCCACAGAGAGGGCTTTGAGTGCTGCCTCTGGCACTCATGCCATAGGTTCGCCACCACTGAGTTAGAGTATACTTCTTTTACCCATATTGGCTAGGATTATGAAAGTTGTAATCAAACACATCTGGAAATATATTCTAAATCAGGGGTGTCAAACTGCCGGCCCACGGGCGGGACGCATCATACGGAAGCCGTGCCCACCGCATTGCCAGCAATGGCAAAACTCTGATACGTTGCGCGACGTCACATGATGTCACGAGTTTGACATGTCTGTTCTAAATAGTAAATGATAACAGTAATAATAACAAAAAGTCAGACTGCTGGGCACTGTACATATACTATACTGGTACATTATGACATCCTAGGTTCTTGTGAAGAACTCAATGCATAAGAAGACCAACTTAGCTAAAAATCTGGCAGCTGTGATTTTTATTGAAGGTGAAAGATTATAGCATAAACTGACAGTGGTGATCCCAATGGTTATCGACACACTGGGTGTCTTAGCAAAAAGACACCCAGTGTCTTTTTAGAAAATCTGCACATTGATAAAATTTCCATGTGTCAATTACAAAATCTGTATTGCTTGAATTTACACATATACTAGGTTATATACTGCACTGATACAGTACAACATCCTAAGTTCTTGGGAAGAACCCAATGAGTAAGAAGGCCAACACTAGCTATAGAACTGGCAGCTGTGGTTTCACATTTTTGTGTATGTAATAAGTAGCAGGAGCCTTGGGTGAAATCCCAAAACAACAGGAGTACCACTTGAAACCATTGGCCTTGATAAAATCACTATTAGTCAATTGCAAAAGGCAGCTTTACATGCAACAGTTTATATCCTGAAACCCTTTAATACCATCACGCAACAACATCTCCTTATCCCAGGTCCTTGGGAAGCATTTGATAGAAAGATCAAAATGCCAAATCCAGTCTAAACATCTGGCTGACTGTGTGACAAACCATAATAATAATTCATTGAAAGATGCATTACCTGTGATGAAAATTTAATTTGAAAGAGCATTCTGGACAGAGTCCTTTAAAAAAAGAAGAACATATTTTATTTATATGCACACAGAGAGACATACACATAGATTGGAAACCACCTACAAATAGGAGGGATACCAATAACTATCATTAAATGCATACGTAATTAAAAATTAATACAATTTTGAGAGCCCATTCAGTATAGCAGTTAACAGCACTGGAATAGAAACCGGGAAACCAAGTTTTAGTCCTGCCTTGGACACAAAGCCAGCTGAGTGACGTTGGACCAGTCTCTCTCATTCAGCCCTAGGAAGCAGGCAAGGGTAAACCACTTCCACCAATCTTGGCAAAAAACCTGCACTGGCTTGTCCAGGGTATTGTCAGGAGTCAACACTGACTTAGCGGAGCACGGTGGCTCACTAGGTTAAGATGCTGGGCTGGTGATCAATAGGCTCGCATTCAAGACCCAGTTGCTGCCACTGGGTGAGGTGAGCTTCCATCACCCGTTCCAGCTCCAGTTTGCAAGTGGGCAACTGAGAGTAAATAGATGGCTACCACTTTGATGGGCAATTTAACAGGGACATCAAAGGAACCCAACTAGGCAACAATGATGCCATCATTCAATTCTTTCAATCTGGAAGCACTTTGGTGCTCTCAACATGAATGCAGTAATAGCCCTGACCTGAAGGCACATATACATACATATAAATATTATTTTTATACTTCAGGACTGCCATATATAAATTTTTACTTTGCATTTCTATAGGCTAACTCAGGGGTGTCAAACTAGCGGCTCGTGGGCTGGATGCGTCATGCGCAGGCCATGCCCATCCTGCTCCGCAAAGCCCAAAAATGTCACGATACTCACATGACGAGATCGAGTTTGACACGCGTGGGCTAACTAACCAACACAAATTGAAATAAATAAATAAATTGAAATAAATAATGCAAATCTCAATAGGAGATTCTTGGGTCACCTTTGGTCAGAATGGCTGTGTATCTGCTTGGACTATGTGATGGCTAAAAGTCAGCTGGCTAATTAACCTTCCTGATATCCTTCATTCTCAAACTCTTCCACAGATGAGGAAAAAGTAGTAGTTTGAGCCACATGGGGGTGCAGCTGATGCACCCAGAAATTAACTGTCAATCTGTCATGGATTATAAGCAGACTTAACTGCACTTTCTTTTGGATATATTGTACTTAAATTTCTCTTCACCTATATTTTTAAAATACCTAATGTTATTTTTCTACACATTTAAGATCCATTGAAAAGGAGATAAATATTGACTACATGACGGACTTACTTAATTTAACAAGTGCATTTTTCTTTTGCTCATGTTCAACATAACCAAAATTCACCTCCCAGCTCTTTAAGCCTTCTTTTTCATCACAATGTTTGCTTCCACAAGAAAATTGCCCTGGAGAGAAATTGATCAGAACATTAAATTACCAAGATCATAAGAATTTGTACATGATTTGTACAAGTAAATAACTTGTCGAGATTTCCATTTTTAGGGACATTATATTTAAAGATATTATTTAAGAATATTATATTTATTAAATGCTACGAAGCATTAATAACGGAGAAAAGAAATTTAACATATTCATACACTCATATGCATACACATCAGTCTGATCTCTTTGGTATTTTGCATAGATGGGGAAAGGAAAAAAGAATTAGATAGAAATAAAAAGCATTATATTATTGATAATTAGTTATCAAAAATGAGGATGAGCCCGATTCACAGGTGTTTCTCGATAGCTTCCAACACTATAAATAAGAATACATTGTCAGTTCATACCTATTAGAGATAGAGTTAGAGTCAGTTCATACCTATTAGAGATAGAGTTAGAGTCAGTTCATACCTATTAGAGATAGAGTTAGAAGAAGAAATAGTGAAGGGGCCAATGATAGCGTGGGCACGAAATGTGGGGCGAAATATAAATTTAGAGGAATGGGAAAGATTATGGAACAGAAATTGCAAATTGACGCTATCAACTGCATATAGAGAAAATCAATATAAAATGATTTACAGATGGCATTTAACACCGGCGAGATTGGCCAAAATGTATAAAAACATAGACCCGAAGTGTTGGAAATGTAAAATTAAAGAAGGAACATTTTATCACATGTGGTGGCTGTGCCCCAAAGTAAAAAAATTATTGGGAACGGATAAGAGATTGGATACAGGAGATAACTGAGATACAAATAGATTTCAAACCAGAAATATTTCTTTTGGGAATAATAAATTTAAAAATGGAAAAACAACTCCAACACATCATTATACACATATTGACTGCAGCTCGTATAGTATATGCGCAATGTTGGAAGAGTGAAAATATTCCCACAAATGATATGATTATGTATAAAATTTTGGAATGCGCAGAAATGAACAAACTTACGTTAGAATTAAAAGACAAGGAAACGTCAGAATTTTATGAAATTTGGAATAAATGTTATAATTGGCTAGAACAGAGAAAGAAAAAGACATAATTATTGATGTACATAAAATGTAAATAAGATGTAAAGAATATTTAAAATGTAAAGCACTGTTCTGTTAGAAGAAAAGATTTATGTTTATGTAGTTTTTGGTGTATGGTGTATGGTGAAAAATAAAAAAAATTTTATAAAAAAAATTAAATGACTCCAAGCGTTTCCCCAAAAGCAGATTGCTGTGATATGTAGGCTTTGCTGTAGTAATATAATGAGTGTAACGGGACAACATGGTTCAGTCAAGCCCTGCTATGTAACACATTTCATATTGTATTTCCTAGATGTTATTCTGCATTTAACGCTAATAAAGTACAAGTGATATGCAGCCTCTTGGAGGGATTCATCTGGATGCCTTCAGAGTGATGTCAATTTGTATTAAGAGGCTCACCACCAAGCCTTCTTTTTTTTTTTTTTTTTTGAAAGATTAACCTCAGACTGTCCAGCTTAGCTGGACTGACAATATCCTCAGACACTTCCATTCTGCGGTATAAAACCAATTGTAATCCTAAGATTGACACCAAAAGGTACAGAACTAAAACATTTTTTTCCACCAAATAATGCTAAGTTCTTGTTAAAAAAAAAATGAATCAAAGTCCTGGGTTTTGAATTTCTACCCTTAACAATAACTACCAAGGAATAATTGATTTTAAGAATCAACAGTAAATGAGTTTAACCCATACTAATGTGAATAGCTATAAGATACATACAAAGTAAAATAACCACATACGTATATTTATTGGCAAACACTGAGGAAAAAAATCTGAACCAAATGATTTTTAGAAAAATACACTCTTCCTAATTCTATCAATGGCTTCAGCTGCTGGTCTACAAGCAACTTTGGGGAAATTCAGCAGAGAGGATTTACTTATGGGATTAGCTGGTAACATTTTTGAGGTGGGAATGTATGAAGGAATTTTGATCAGCTTAGCTAATATCCCAAACCTGATTAACTTTCACCTACAATTATGCAACATAACATGGAGTATCGCATTAGCACAATAACCAATAATCTACAACAAAACATGTAAATAATGTATGTGAATAAAAAGCCCAGCTAATAACCCACAATTAGACACGTAAATAACTTTCAGGATTTGGCAATTACAAAAATATTTGGTCTTTGTGTCTTATTTTGATTTCCTCTCTGGCTGCTCAGAATACATGAACATTGCTTGTTGTTTTAAACAAGCCAGGATTAGTTGTTGCAAAAATAAATTGAATATGCATTAATGTATTGTTATGTGTGATTGTGATAACACTATTGTAAATTGGGCAGTGTGCATTGGTTTAGACCAGAGACACTGAAATGCAGGTTACTGCTTAATTGTGAAATCTGTTAAATGACTTGCAGGCCAACACTACTATACAAAAAAATGTAACACAATCCCCCTGTGTACCTTTTTTGTTTTAGTAGAATACTATACAGGTAGTTCTCGACTTACAGTAATTCATTTAGTGACCGTGTGAAGTTACAACAGCATTGAAAAAAGTGACTTATGACTATTTTTCACACTTATGACCATTGCAGCATCCCCCATGGTCACGTGATCAAAATTCAGATGCTTGGCAACTGACTCATATTTATGACGGATGCAGTGTCCCGGGGTTAGGGGATCACCTTTTGTGACCTTCTGACAAGCAAAGTCAACGGGGAAGCCAGATTCATTTAACAACTGTTATTAAATTAACAATCGCAGTGACTCACTTAACAATTGTGGCAAGAAAGGTTGTAAAATGGGGCAAAATTCACTTAACAAATGTCTTACTTAGCAACAGAAATTGTGCGCTCCATTGTGGTCATAAGTCGAGGACTGCCTGTATATTTTACCTTCTTTTAGTTGGCAAAACTAACTATATTACGTACCACTGTGTAGTCAAAACTGCACATTTAGCCCATGACAAAGTAACAATTTGAAGTGGCAAAGATACACATATTTCCTAACGATATCACATCTACTTGGAGAGCAAACGAAAAACCTGAGTGCAGGTAGTCCTCGACTCACGACCACAACTGAGCCCAGAATTTATGTTGCTAAGTGAGAAATTTGTTGTGAGTTTTGCCCCATTTTATGACTTTTCTTGCCACAGTTGTTAAGTGAATCACTGCATTTCTTAAATCAGTAACATGGTCGACTTTGACTCTGCTTGTCAGAGCATCGCAAAAGGGGATCACATGACCCTGGGACACCGCAACCGTCATTAATATGTGCCAGTTGTCAAGCATCCGAATGTAAATCACATGACCATGGGGGATGCTGCAATGGTCATAAGTGTGAAATATGGTCATAAGTCGCTTTTTCAGTGCCGTTGTAACTTTGAACAGTCACTAAATGAACCGTGGTAAGTCGAGGGCTGCCTGTACTTAATAATGGAAAAGTTCCATTGCTGGTTTCTACTTGTTATTAAAGTGAGACTCTTATCAAAATGAAGACTGTGTAGCTGAATGAATTAATATTTCAATCACGGAAACTTAATTTTCTAGCAATACTGGGTAATTTATATTATTTATAAGTTACATTTATTATCATTTACATCACTCGGTAACTACAGCTCAGTGCAGAGTTTACAGGGTGAGATTTTAGAACTTGTAAATAGGCTAGCAAAAGTGATATAATAGCAGAACAATTACATTTGAAATGAAAAATAACTTAATTAAATGGTGGCAAATAGTTAAAATCGTAATAGAGGCATGTCATATTGTAATGATATTAATACAACCATTTGCATTACAGGTAGTCCTCATGTCCACAGTTAAGCCCCAAATTTTTGTTCTTAAGCAAGTTGTTTGTTAAGAGAGTTTTGCCCCATTTGACGGCTTTTCTTGTCACAGTTGTTAAGTGAATCACTACTAACTTGTTATGTTAGTAACATGTATCTTAAGGGCAGCGGTCTTCAAACTTGGCCCTTTTATGACTTGAGGACTTCAACTCCCAGAATTCCTCAGCCAGGCACGCTGGCTGAGGAATTCTGGGAGTTAAAGTCCACAAGTCATAAAAGGGCCAACTTTGAAGACCCCTGGTTAAGGGAATCTGGCTTCCCATTGACTTTGCTTATCAGAAAGTCTCAAAAGGTGATCATCTGATCCTGGGACACTGCAAGGGTCATAAATGCTACTTGCCAAGCATCCGAATTTTGATCACGTGACCCTGGAGATGCTGCAACGGTCATAAGTGTGAAAATGATCATAATGGTCACTTTTTTTGGTGCTGTTGTAACTTCAAATGATCACTAAATGAATAGTTGTAAATTAGGGACTCTCTCTCTCTCTCTCTCTCTCTCTCNTATATACACCAACATATATATACACCAACAAAAGGAAACTGCAAAAATACATTCAAGAAAACTTACAACTGCATCTCACAACAATCTTGCATGCTTATGCCTCTTAGTGGTAAACTATATTATTGCTCTCTAACAATGATGTTTGATGACTATAATAACCTTAGCAAGCCTAATAGTAAGAATAAATTATTATATGACCAAATCATGGTATCTTAGAAGGCTAGAATACAATTAACAACGATAAACTCTGTTGCCTGAAATCAATGATATAACTGGTAAACTATAAATAGGTTTTTCTAAGTCTGTGAAGATGCCAGGATCAACACCTGGTGTTAGGAAGGGCCAACAAACATAAGGTGAATCCCATTTTTACCTGCAGTTCTTCAGCCTTCAAAGCATCAGATTTTGGGAGCCTGAAGAGGCTGCAGTGACAGGTGAGGAAAAACCCATTCCATAACAGAATTCTTTTCATCTAAGTTAGGTTCCAAGGCTCAATAAGGAACAAGAAGAAAACTTGCCTTTTCCTGATACAACTTCTTGCTCATGCCTCCATCTAAATCCAAACTGTTGGAAAGATTTTACAAATAAACAGTTACGATTTTGCATTTAAAATTCAGCAAGCAAACAAAGGAAAAAGTGGCCTCTAGATCTAGAAGACATTATTTTTTTTGTTAGAGTAAGCAATGCACAGTAATTATCAATTATGAAAACCAAGTCACATGATTCCATATGTTGATTAGGAACGAGGTGCGTGAAATCAGTAATGGTAAAAATAAATACAGTTGTGCTTTATTGTAGGTATTTTAATGTTGTTCATGTATTTTATTAGATTTTTTTTAATCTGCTGAATTTTGGATAATTGATATAAAACGTCAATATAAAGAGATGAGGTGATCGTGAGGGTACTATGACAGCCGGCATTTCAAGGAACTAAGTACTAAATACTCCTTGTTCAATGCCACTGTAACTTTGAACAGTCACTGAATGAGCATCATTAACTGAGGACTACCTGTATATTGAGCTAGATTCAACAGGCTGGCCATTCAGCTATATTTGCTTTTAATCATCCATCACACTGGAATGGTTTTCCGAAAACAATCAAATGCTAAGAAGCATTGTAACCAATAAAATTCCTAGCCAGTGCTATATCTATTTCCATCTGTGCCAAAGGCTAATTTTAAGTCTCTATATTGATTTCAAGAGGATGAAAGAGAGGATTGAGGGTCATGTCATTCTGCTCTCTAGTTTTGTACTTAAGAAGTATGTGGGATCAAATTAATGCTATATTTCAATGCATCTCAACCATTATTATATTTGCTAATCTCTCTGAATCCTAACTGCTGCAGATGCTCTGTGAGCGAGAACTACAGCATTGTGACTTTTCATAAGGACACCACAAGGAATCTGTGCACCCACTTCTGGAAACAGAATTTTCTGCTATGTGGTTTGCTCTATAGGTGTTCATCCAAAGAAAGCATGAGTTTGCCAGTTGCAAGCATGGTGTCTATTCATAAACAAAGGAGCTGCATCAAACATGTGCTATGGTTCTGCAAAAGCCATTGGGAACAAATAGATCAACACTGCTTTGTTACCTAAACAAAATCTCTAAAAGCAAGTTAAGTGTCCTCAAATATCTGATTCTCATGCACTGACCATAAACAATAATGGGTTTGTAAAATAACCCTCTATATTGTCCCATTCCCTGAAACAATTTGCTAAAGAACTAAGTATTATCTTCAAAACTTTGGGCCAAAACCTAAAAATTACCTTGTTCCCTTTGTATTTTCTCAGATCTGCTATACAGTATTCTTTGAATAATTTATCATAGTATTTCTTGCTCAACCTCTTCTCCCTGAAAGATAGAATTATTGATTGAAGAGAAGAAAAAAACATACGGACAAAAAGAGGAAAGGTATTCCACTTTTAGCAATGGATAGGCAGAAATGCCAACAAGTTTATTTGCCATTAAGTATTAGTTGCAGCAGAAAAATTTAAAAATGGATGGCATTTATTGTTCAATTAGCTTGCTGTTAATTGATTTTTATCAGGAGCTGCTTTCCTACAGAGTGTTTTTATTTCACACTTCTTAAATGTCTGGAACTATCTTTGGGGGTAAAAAAAAAAGGCAATATGTTGTACTGCAGTATTCCCCAACCTTTCTGGTTTTGCAGACTGGTGGGGGGGAGAGAAGGGATGGTTCCACGCAAGCGGTGTGTGCATGCAGCTCCATTTGTGCAAGCGGCAGGCACGCACGCCACTTGCACAAATGGAGCTTTGCCCGTGCGTTCACCCACCACTTCCGCAGCATGGTTCCAAACGGGCTGCGGCCCAGCTGTGGGCCATAACCCAGGGGTTGAGGAGCCTTGATGTAGTGGTTAAAGTATTGGGCTAGTGACTGGGAGACTGAGTTCAGTCCTTCTTGCCTTAAAAAAGACAGCTGGGTGACCATGGGGCCAACCACTTTCTCTCAATCCTAAGAAGCAGGAAATTGTAAAATTCTAAAATTTTGCCAAGAAAACTGCAGCGACTTATCCAGGCAGTCACCAGGAGTCAAGACTAACTCAAAGGCATCAAATATGTAAGTAAATAAAAATATTCAGTAGAGGAGACTTAAGAATTAAAATAGGAGTGAGAGGCCACATCCACACAATTTTGACATGCAGCCATCCCATTCATGCCACTCTTAATCTTGCTGACCCCATAGTGCTTTTTTTTTTCCATATACCTGGAATGGGTCTATGCTATACTGCTACATATACAGTTTTAATAGGCAACGTTCTAAGGGCCATGATTTCTGTTTCCATAGCAAAACTTCAGTCCCATCCTATGTCATTCAATATATAAAAGGCCTCCTCTATCTGGCATGCATAATATCATGCCTGCTCAATGCACTGCAACTTTTTTCTTTCCTTTTGAACACGGATCCATTATTTTTTTTATTCTTTACTTTCCTGAAATTATGGGTCAGCTGGTTGACTGTAGACTGCAACTTTCAGAGGTTTTGTTTTTTTTAATTCTCTTGACTGCTACCAAGGGGCCACTGGGATTTATGCAGATGAAATGCAGCCATTGGATAAGTGCTGATGAACATTAGGAGTTTGAGAAAGAGACTTAGGGGAATCTGTAAAATATCCTACGAACATAGGGTGATGAGGGGAGACAAGAAGTTAAAGCTTTCTCAGTGGGAGCAGCACTACTGAGAAGGGAATGCCTATCAGTCACCGAAGCTCAGTTAACATCCTTTCAATTGCATATCTTTACCTAGAATGAAATTAATAAATTTCAAGCCCTTGGAGTCTCCAGTTTACCAATCCATTTTAAAAAAAGGTATCTGTAGAAGCGGGAACACTGATCTGCCTTTAGGCTGGTCTATAATCATAATAAGATTTGAGTTGATCTGATCTGCCTTACAGCCAAAAGAAGACTGAGAAGGTGAGCAAAGAGGTCAGGGATTAGTCTGAAGGAAGTAATCCCAAAGGAAACCGGGAGAACCAACTGGAGTCACAAGACTGCTGCCATCGCCCTTTTCAGCCAACACACAGAAATTTCATTTTCAGACTGCTTCCCCAATGCACATCAGTGGGCCCTACATCACCTGCACAGAGCATATGAGGTAGAACATAAGGAAAAACACTTCTAAATTATCCCTATGACTAGGATGACTGAGAATCTCCATAGACACTTCTAAATTATCACATCTTAAGAAACCCTTGGGCTGTCATGGGATACTGAGATACAGAGGGAGACAAGCAGACATGTACTTAGGAAGGGGTTAATGGGCTGTCCTTGGGCCACATCAAAGAGGTTGTGGGAATTGGTTTGCCCTGACAGAGAAAAAAAAAACTCAAGTTACCAGTTCATATCGACTTCATCCTCTTCTCTCCACAAGAATCTATGGTTCTCCCTTATAACATCAAGATCAGTCTTATCATTTTCTCTGTTAAAAAGAAAAAAAACTTGGGGCTAATAATCAAAGAGTTGTTTTTAATTAAAACTAATAATAAAAGCTGTTCATTCTTTTGCAGTTTTTGTGAAGTTTTTACCATATCATTTTTGTTCCTAAAAAGCAGCTCTTAATCAAAAAATCCTATCCTTGAGACTATCTTACACTACATCAAAATGCTTGAGATTTTTTTTAGATTCAGAAAAAAATGGCAAGACAACTGTATCCAGATTTGTTTATAACTTAGCAATGTTCATGCATAAATACTATCCATATTTAATCTAGATAATACAGTTGAAGTGGTGCTTTTTAATTCAAAAACATAGAATCCAATTCAACAATATTCTATTTATAGCTTTCCAATTTTAGTTCTGAATTACACAATTGGCATAATTAAAAGAATTTGTATTTTGCATACTTAATTCTTAAATATATGATGGGAATGCTCTGCTGAGAATTAGTTTAAGCATTACTACTTCTTATAGAAACTGTATAATCTCCAGATATGAAAAGTGTGCATTTATTTACATAGGAACTTACTGTACTTTTGATCATCAACATATTCAATATGAACAAGTAAAATATAATAAGGTAATCTTTAATTATCCAAAAAGTACTCATGCATAATTTAATCTTATATTTACATATGCCAAGTAAATTTTGATTGTCTTCAATTATTGATGATTTCAGCCTTTTATAAATAAGATGTACTTACCCTGAACGTTTGAAGTCTTCTTTCTTACCACCATAGTATAAAATGTAATCATTTACAAACTTCTTATGTCTTGCATACTGACAGAATTAAGAAAATTAATGTTTTTTAACGATTGCCTAATAACAACTTCATCTTAAGATCAATTCATAAAAACTATTCCCAAAACATTTCTGTAATACAATAAGGTGTAAGAGAGGGCAATTCTAAAGTAACGATTATTGTTAATGATGAATAGGTTACATACCTGTTATGTTATGTTACGTTGTTGTTATGTTATGTTACATTAGGGGGCCGTTTACTCAAGGAAGCTTGGCTCTCGAATGGCGACTCCATCAACCGGCACATCGACCTGTGCCCGGCGCATCTGGCCTTGAAGGCGTGGAGCGCAGGTGACCCCCAACCCCAGCACGGATGGCAGGGGGCCAGGCGGCATACCCCCGTAGAAGAAATAAGGAGGATACAAGCAGATAGAGGAGCGACCACC